GGGGGGGGGGGGGGGGGGGGGGGGGGGGGGGGGGGGGGGGGGGGGGGGGGGGGGGGGGGGGGGGGGGGGGGGGGGGGGGGGGGGGGGGGGGGGGGGGGGGGGGGGGGGGGATAAATGGATCCTAAAATGTTATTCAGTTGATGAATTCATGTTGTAATAGTAGGTGTGAACTCTGCATAGCTATATACTGCATTCACTAAGTGCTTGCATTATAATTAGTAGCTAGCTATGCATGATTACAGGGTGTGGGACTGCATTCACTTAAATGTACACAGAAAACTTGAGTTAGCCCTGGTTCACATCACTGCGACTTCAAGTGTGACATGAGATGTACAAATCATACCTTAGGTTGCATCTAATGTATTTCTATGGCGCTTGGTCTTAATCAGTGCGATTTGAAGTAGTGTGATTTCAAAAATAGTTCCTGCACTACGTTTTTACGATTTCATTGCAACTTGCATATATGTTTAATGAATTTGCAAGCCACAGTGAAATCGAAGGTACAAATTGCACTGATCTGCAGCTTTGAAATTGCGCTGCTTCAAGTAAAGTAGCGTGATTTCAAAGTTGCATTCATTGTGAACCAGGACTCTGTTCACACCAATGCGTTATTAATGCTCTTTTCAGAAACGCACTACAGTCCATTTAAAATGGTTTCCTATCGAACATGCTCACATCTATGCTTTTTTTGAGCTGCTTCTTCTTTGGAAAGGGTCAGGGGCTTTTTTTTTTAAAGCAAAAAGCAGCGGTTTTGCTACAATAGAGTTCAATGGAGAATCTGCTAAAAACGCATGGTAGTGCGTTTTGCATTTTTATTCTGTCCAGCAAAAAAAAAATTCCACTTAAAAAAGAGCAAAAAAAAAAAAAAAAAGCTGAACAAAACGCAAAACATGGTTAAAAAATGCAAAAAAAGTGAGAAAAGCACTGCAAAACGGACAAAAAACAAACTGCATAGGTGTGAACAGAGCCTTATGGTTCATGTACACTGCAGCTGATAAACTGATGTTCAGGAGCTTTTCTGCGTTTTTTTTTTTCAGCAGCCCCTGAACTCTCCCTAATGTTTTCCTATGTGTCCATGTACAGTCATTTACAGACAGTTGAGTTTACAGTCGTTTTTTGGAACGCACCAAACTTCAGGAGTAGATTTTATCAGCATTTCAAACGGCAAATGCTTGTGAACACTTGTAAACATGGCTAACGGCATTAATAAGCGTTTGTGTTTTAGAAGCATTTTTTAACTGTTCTTATCAACTGATGCCATCATTGGTTGTTATGCCGTTGGCAGTTAGAAAGTTGTAATGGTGCACAATACATTTTGTGTAACTAAAAGGCTGGCTTGTATGCAATTTTTGGGCAACTTTTAGGCATTTTGTTAAGCCACCCTTGGAGAAACCTGAGGACACCCTAACTGAAAAAGGCTGATCTAGTGTAGTCCATGCATGGATGGGTTATGGTAAGGGTGGTCATAATGTTATTGCTGAGCAGTGTATACATTATTAAAACTATAAAATCTTTATTTACATGTGATTATTGATTTATGCACCATCTTTAATTTTTCAGATGGCTACTTGGTGAGCTCTATGGAATGTTAAATTATTTTAGGAGTTAAGGTGTTAAATTTTTCATATTGCTGTATTAAATAAATCATACATATTATAAATCAGTGCAAAATGTATAGTACCTCCTGCGCTGATATGGATACACTAAATATAAGCTGCCAGCACCAAAATGCCTCAACCTAGGCACAAAATGATGACAACATACACCAAAATAGTGCAGCACTACATAAACCTGATATGATGACGAGAGCAAGTCACAAATATATTCGTAACAATTCAATTACGCACACTAAACAGTAGGTAAGTGCAGCTAAGGACACACTCCCCCTCCTGGATCCTCAACTGAGGGATCATAAGTAAGTGCAAACACAGTGTGCACATCCCCTGAGGGATGAAGTAACTCCGTGAACCGTGCAAAAGACTCTACTGGACAATACTACTGCACACTATCCCCAAAGATAACATAGATGCTGTAGTATAGATAGTCCACATAAATGGCATAACTTCACATACACATGCAAGTGATATTCTTGTGCTGGTATTGTGCCAATCCTCAAAAGCTGGGGTGCCCCCTCACCGTACTGCCCAGGTCCCGCAGGACCAACGAGCCTTATGAATGAAATATACGATCCTCCCAGTCCTGGGTAGTCTTCTTGGTGATGATGGTGGTACTTATTTCCTCCTTATGTTAATTTCACCTCCAGCCACTAGTAACACTCCTGCACATGAAACTCTCCTTACACGGCCCCAGTAGTAAGACAGAGAATGGCCAACATAGTGTAAAAAAACTGTTTGTTACTGCATACTGAATAGATAAAAAATGCCCACTTACGTTTGGAAAGACACAATCAGGCTTTCACACCACACTATGGATGTACTGCATGGATGATCAAAACAGGTGCACCAAGAAGGCACCTGCACCGGATGTGATGTCATGTAAGGCCGTGTAAGGAGAGTTTCATGCGCAGGAGTGTTACTAGTGGCTGGAGGTGAAATTAACATAAGGAGGAAATAAGTACCACCATCATCACCAAGAGGACTACCCAGGACTGGGAGGATCGTATATTTGATTCATAAGGCTCATTGGTCCTGCGGGACCTGGGCAGTACGGTGAGGGGGCACCCCAGCTTTTGAGGATTGGCACAATACCAGCACAAGAATATCACTTGCATGTGTATGTGAAGTTATGCCATTCATGTGGACTATCTATACTATGGGATCTATGTTATCTTTGGGGATAGTGTGCAGTAGTATTGTCCAGTAGAGTCTTTTGCACGGTTCACGGAGTTACTTCATCCCTCAGGGGATGCACACACTGTGTTTGCACTTACTTATGATCCCTCAGTTGAGGATCCAGGAGGGGGAGTGTGTCCTTAGAAGCACTTACCTACTGTTTAGTGTGCGTAATTGAATTGTTACTAATATATTTGTGACTTGCTCTCGTCATCATATCGGGTTTATGTGCCGCACTACTTTGGTGTATATTGCATACATATTATACACAAGAAATGTGGCTGAATGCTTATTTTGAAGGCATTTTGGTGGTTTCATATGAAAGTAGTGGTGGCATCATCCCTGTGCTGTACAGAGCTTGTGTAGAAGGCAGGGATATGGGAAGCACACAGCAGGTCTACCCCCTTCAGCATATTTCACACCACAAAAACACACTCCAGATTCATTCCAGATGTGCATCTGCATACGCATTTTTAACACATTTCTGAATGCATTCCAGATGCTTTTCTTCCTGATCTTTTCCACAGTACTCGGGTACTGAGCGTTTTTGATTAATTGTACAACATTCCAGCCCAGTCCAGTATAGGAAAAATGCAGCATGTTCTACTTTTTTTTTCTGGAACTGAACTGCACTGGTGTGAACTATACCATTGGAAACCATATAACCCACTTTCCAGGTATTTTTGATGCATAAAAGCTGGACTGCATGTGGTGTGATCAGGTCCTGCCTGCAGAAAAACACAGGAGAGGCAGATACAAGACCAGTCTGCAGAAGCAGAGAGAGCAGCAGTAACAGTTCTTTATTAGAGAAAGCCCTGCACACAATTTCACACTGGATTGCTGTACAAATTTGAAAGAAATACACAAGGCTCATCAAGATCCAGATAAAAATACGCATGCTTCCAGTATTTACACAGTACGTGGGGATTCAACAATGCTCGCACCATTCTTCTAAACTTAGAAAATTAACAAAAAGGCACAAAGCTCCTTTATTAGGATTGATCTGCTCTGTGTGCTACAGATTCCCCCGACTGTCCTCAACCTCTGATCAGCTGAGAGAGGGAAAGGGAAGGGCTGTGCAAACTCTGCTCATAGGAGCAGAGAGAGGGATGTGAACTGTCTGCTGACAGCTCACATTTCATATGCCAGCTCTGCAGCTGGCAGGGATCTGCGGCAGTTTTATTCACAGGAAATTTCAGCAATCTCCTTGTTAATTAGTTGCAGAACTCACACTAGTTTATATTTCTCTCTGAAATAGAAAACTGGCATGTGTGGTGCACGCCACTCCAGACAGTTTCCTGCACAAGTCAGGATGTTTAGTTAATTCCCCAATATGTGCTTATCACAGAGCTCAACTTTAAGGTTCTATTGGACAGACACTGTAGTAAGCGGCACACAAGAATATTTTAAAAGGTGGCAGGAAAAAGCAAAAAATGTATTAACCAGTGTTTAAAAAATGGAACTCACCTGAGTTAGTAAGTAAAGTAATGTAGCAGTCAACCTTGCTTGTTTTGCTCCAAACTAAAAGCTTAATATCATACTTAAAGGATATGTTCACCTTTTGGGCAAAAATAATAGATACACATTTTATTGCAAGTAAAAAAAATGTGCATTTATTATTTTTGTCTACAGGAGCCTGGAAAGCATTACACCAACAATCATTAGATCGCTGATGCAATGCAGGTCTCCTGCAGACCTGTCAGAATATCTGCTTCCTGCACAGGATTCTGACAGGAAGCTTCAATGAACTACCACGGCGCTCCACAGCGCCGTGGTTGTTCATTGAGACTACAAGCCCACGGAAGTCCATGAATGAGTGACGCAGCCGTGTGTGGGCGGAGCCCCGCTGGTTTCAAATTTGACAGATAATACAGGTAGGCTTCTCCCTGCAATATCTGTCAAAGGGAGGGGGGGTGGTGGCTATGAGAACATGTTACATGTTCCATCCTAAAAACGGGTGGAACATGTAACATGTTCCCAAGGTTGAACTTATCCTTTAATATGTTAATGTCAAAAAAAGACAAAAGTAAGGGCTGTGGGTCTCACAACAGGGACCCTTTTTTGGTTACAAAGCGACTTTATAAAATTACAATGCCAAAATATGTAAAGTTTATTACTAGCTTTATGCATTACAAACACTAAACAGGAGGGTGAAATAAGACCAATTAGGTTGTCATTTAATTACTATTTTATTAAGTGACAGCAACCTCAATAGAGCTTTAAATGTCCAGTCACTTTATCAACTAAATCACTAGGACCAGGTCCCACGCCAAGAACAGTTCTAGATCCTGGTGCTATTTGTGTGCGACCTGCATCCTGAATCAGACTGACGGCCAGTCCCAGCTGTTTTGCCTGGGTGAGAAGCTCAACCAAAGTATCTTCATCCGGAGCTTTCAGTACCACCTTAGGTTGCCCACAATATTCCCATTGCTTAAGTAATTCGGGATTTCGCTTAAGGAGCTGCTTGTAAGCAGATACCGCAGCATGTGAGCACTGTGCAGCAACTTTTCCCTTTCCCATTTTCAAATCATTTCGGACAACTAGTACCATCTTGAACGCTCCACTCTCTCCCATTACGCTTGCTTCACTTCCCGCATCATCTCCTGTTAATTTTGTCACAATCCTTGAACGGCCAATTTGACCACGCAGGTTCCAACCTAGTAAAGCACCGCAGGCTATTCCCGCTGCCAATGACAGAGTTCCAGGGCTAGTGATGTAATCCATCTTCAATCACCTACAACAAAGCACACACAATTTATTACGGCTTTAAAATAAATATGGTTGTGAGGAAATTTAGGAAATTATGGTTGTGAACCTTAGGAATTTTCAGGATTTTGCCATAATTGGTTCCTAAAATGAGATCGGATCTTTATCTAGGTCATAATATTGAACAGAGAGTCTTGCAAAACAAACTACACACATGACATGTCACTTTGCAATATTTTTTATAAAACACATGGTTTATATAAACAGTGATGTATATAGAGTAGGTTTGTAAACCTTTATATTCAGTAAAAAGTGCAATTACCCCAAAGAGACCCTGTCACCTTGGCCATTCAGGGCAATTCGAAAGGGTCTGTTTAAATGCATAGACTACGTGTCAAGCTACACTCATTTTGGAGTGTAACATGAAGCGTGGGTGCTTGCACCAGCCTCTTAAACCCAAACTACCCCCCACCCCTTACCTGAATTCAGCCTAGCTGAAAGTGCTTCTGCCTGCACAGTTATTAATGATGCTCTCTGAATGAAACTATTACATGTCCCATTTGTAACCACGGCAGAGGGCTCAGGAGGATGATGTGGATACACATGTATCCACTGATTACCTCCACCAGATCCATAACTGGGCTTGGGGGCAGATGTACAGATTGTGGTTGCACACTCTGCAAGCTTGAATCCCAGAATTTAATAAATGCTTATTTTTTTATTAAATACATTCAAAAAATATTTTAAAAAGGTGGATTATGCCTTTAAAGCCCAACCCCGACTACTTTGTACTCACCTCTCCATTGATCCTCTGAAACTCCTTCTTCAACAATGCTGGTGCAGTGGTGCTGCCAGGTATTTGAAATAATGTGATTTACTTCCACCACAATGCAGTGTTTTAGCCAAATCACTTAGCCTTACCACTATCACATGAAGGGGGTGGGTGACATCACTCCGTTCCCTCTGAGATTCAACCCTAGCTGACACCATGCATTTTGGAAAGGCTGTGATGGAAAAAAACAGTGTAGGGGGTGTACAAAAAGCTGGCTTGTGGGCTTTACACAGACCCTCTCACTTTGCCCTGAATGGGCGATGTCACAGGGTCTCTAAATTCTTTCTGTATCTGCTGATCACACTGTAATTAGAAGGTATTTAGGCCCATGGCTGCATACAATCCTGTTTAATTTTATATTTAACACACATTCAACAGTTCAAAAGAAAAAATGTGAATGTATTTTTTTTCTGAGGAGCCTGCAAAGCACTGCACCTACGATCAGTGGATCATGGGTGCAATGTCAGGCTCCAGCAGACACTTCCTACAGTTTTCTGCCCATACCTCTCTCTATGCTCTGGTAGAAAGCTGTAGGCAAGTGTCAATGAACTATAAAGCTTCATATACAAGATCAGTTTCTAAACTCGACTTTAGGAGCTTCTGGCATTTTTTTGTCACAGCTCCTAAACTCATTTCCATAAAATCCTCCATAATGTCCATGTACACATAGGCTTTTAGCAGAGTTTAGGAGCTGCCGTGTTTAGGTGCGGTTAAACCTCCCTCTCCTGAACGCAGAAGAATCACATTTAGGATAGGAACATTTTGACCGCCGACCATGGGAAAATGCAAAACGTGGCAAAAAAATCACAGTACTTGCGTTTATGACGCGATCTGCATTTTTTCTGCGGCTGGCGGTCAGGGTAGGCTCCTGTACATGGAGCCTAAGAGTGCTCACCAGCACCCTTGCAGTTGCTGCGGCGATGGCAGATGGTACTTGTAGTAAGTTCGCTCAGATTCCTGTGAAGGAATGACACAGCAATGTGGTCAGAGCGAGATTGGGGGGGTAATGTGGGGACAGGTGCTAGAACATGTTACATCTTACTACCTAAATATGGGTGTGACGTGCTCCAAAAGCTAAAAACCTAACTTTTAATCTATGAAGGTGACCTGAAAGTTCCTTATACTTTAACATATTTGAGCATTGTAGAGTTAATTGTTGGAAAGGTGACCTATAAATCAAATCCCAACACCATCCAACGCATTTTATTTTATTTTCAGGACTTGTATTGTACAACAGACATTTAGCATAGAGCACCTTATTTACCACTGGCCCAAGTGAACAGCAGAGGGCAGTGATGCATGTCCTGCTGTCTGCATTCACAAATCCTGATTACACAGAATTCAATATTAGATTATTATTATTATACAGTATTTATAAAGCGCCAATAGTTCACTCAGCTTTGTACATTACAAAGGGGGACAGAACATGTGACAGAACAATACCAATACAATGCAAAACATGAGGGGATTGAGGCATAATAAAATGATTTTTAAATATCCCAGTGCCATTAGGATCTTGCTAAGTGGAACCGAATTCTGCTATTTTTTTTCTATTAAATGGACAGACATTATAGCAGACTTACTAAGCTGCATCTACATGGTTCAGTATACATTAATGCTGATGGCAGGGAGAAGTATTTATTACAGAAGAAACTAATAGGGTCTCTTCTGTCATAAAAAAAACCCTATCTGTTGCTGATTTTTAACATTTTTTTTAGCTCAGTTCAGCTTTAAAATGCTTTTACACTGGATTCGACTTTGAAATTGTGCGACTTCACTTGAAGTCACACAATTTAACCAATTCAATACCGGGCACTTTTACCCCTTCCTGCCCAGGCCATTTTTCAGGTTTCAGCGCTCTCACACTTTGAATGACAATTGCGCGGTCATACAACATTGTACCCAAACTAAAAATTTTATCATTTTCTTCACACAACTAGAGCTTTCTTTTGGTGGTATTTAATCACCGCTGGGGTTATTTTTTGCTAAACAAAAGAAGACTAAAAATTGTTTCTGTTATAAAAGTTTGCAAATAAATAATTGTTCTTCAAAAATTTAGGCCGAGATGTATTCTGCTACATGTCTTTGGTGAAAATGACCCATATTAGGATGTATTTTTTAGTTTGTAGGAAAAATTCACAGTTCACAAACTATGGTATAGATCTGAATATTGATCAATCCTGAAGTACTGACAGCCAATCTAATTTCTTGAGGTCCAAGAATGTCAAAACAGTACAGATATCCCCCAAATGACCCCTTTTTGCAAAGTAGACAGTCCAACGTACTTCATAAGAGGAATTAGATTATTGTGAATCCTCCTGCGCTTCTATGGAAAACCCCCCTCCTAATTGATATGCTGCTAACACTCAAACCGATACCCAAAACAGTGTCCAAATATAAATAAATTAGTGTAGCGCCTACACTAATTTATTTATATTTTCATAAGAGGAATGGCGAGTTTTTTGAAGTTGTATTTTTTTTTTGTCCGAATTTTTTTAAAATGAAAAAAATTAAAAAAATTAGTTTCACTATTTTTTTTTTTACATATTGTCACCAGTGCAGTACAGCGTCATCATATAACTGGCATGGTGGTGATCGGGGACACTGGTGACAGTATGAAAAAAAAAATATTTTTTTATTTTTATGTTTTATTACATTATTTTTTTTTTTTAAGATTTTTTTTCATACTTCACTATGACCAAAGTAGTACAATGTTACCATAGTAACATTGTACTTCTTTGGGGAAGTGATCAGTTTTTTTTTTTTTTAAACAATTTGTTTATAGCAAAGAATTACTTTGCTATAAGCAAGCATTTACCTGAATGACATCGATTCATTCAGGTTTTTTTTTTTTTTTGTGCATAGCTGTGATTTGGCCACAGCTAATCACATGGCATGTGCATGTGATTAGCTGTGGCCATTCACAGCTAGACACTAGTATACAATGGATGGCCTGAATGAAGCCATTCATTGTATACAACTGTCATGTGACCTGCTGTGATTGGGCACAGCAGGTCACATGGTACCGGCAACGGGGGGCCAATACTCAGATCTGTCATCGGCCGTGTCCGAGGTACAGGGCCGGTGACAGATCGCACTGCTGCGCGGCTCTGCAGGAGCGCAATCTGCGCATGTGTGGGAGGACGCCATATGGCGTCCACCCGGAACGCTGATGACATTTGCAGGCTGCCATTCGGCCATAGGGCGGGCGGCAAATGGTTAAAAGTCGGATGGCAGGGCGACTTGATAAGATATCTGTGCGACTTCATGCACAGATGTCCACACAAGTCGCACCCCAAAACGGCAAAAGCAGTGCAGGAACTACTTTTCCAATCGGTCTGAGTCGAAGTCAGTCAGAGTTGAACCGATTAGAACAATTCCATTGCCAATCACTGGATGCAATTTGAATGGTCAACCACGGGCTTAATGAAATGGTGATGATTATATATCTCTTGCTTTTCCAGCACAGAAAGTAAGAAGAATTGCGGGCTCCTCAAATGTGAGATTTTCAAGTGCTTATGACCATTCAAGCTTTTCTAGTTATCTTACCAAGAATTTCATGTCCTCCAGTGGCTACTGAAAGCAGAATATCACTGAAACACTTTAGAACTTGAGATCTTAAAGAAGAGGTGGATGTTGGCATTGATAGCTCCAGCATCTAAATACTCAAGCATAAGCTTGCAGGCGAAAATTGGTTTTCATAATTGGGCAGGTCAAGTGCAAGTGAAATCACATATAAAACATTATTCAATCTAGGTATTTCTTTTAAAATATACAGGATATTACAAAACTTGCTTTCATGTTATAGAGTGGTGAAGGATCAGAACCTCTGTTAGGTTTTTATTGCTTTAACCCCACTGGGAAGATTCCTGCTCCCCATTTGTCATCAAAGCTAGATTTGAAAGAAAATTTGGAGTTGATGCTGGAACAGGAAAGGAATAGATGGGAAATCTATCAATATCCTACCCAGCCCTACCTGAAGCTGGAAACATTGTCTTTAGATATACACTTCTCAAAAAAAAAAAAAAACACTTTTTAATCAGAGTATAGCATGAAGTCAATTAAATTCCTGGGATATTGATCTAGTCAGTTAACCTCCCTGATGGTATTCCCTAGTGTAGCTCGGGGTAAAGTTTCAGTACCAAAAGCGGTAACCCAGAGCCACACTCGGGCTTACCATGCGGAG